TTGGTAGTGGTAATAATCAGCCTATCCTACAGAGAGAGGCAGATTGAATCTCCCAAAAAAACAATATTTTAAAACTTTGCTAACTCCAAAGAGAGTTATCCCTTTGGCTGATAATCCTCTCTTACAACTGCAATGGAATCCCACCAACTCTATGTATGTATAAGCATCTGTCTGTGTACATAAGAACAGCCATGTTGAGTCAGACCAATGGTCCATCTAGCCCACGGTCCGGTCTTCCGACAGTGGCCAATGCCAGGTACTTCAGAGGTATTACACTAGACTTCTCATAGCATGTTCCTTGGTTTTATATGTCTCAGGCACATAGGCCATTTTCTGTTTAAGCATTTCTTCAACTACGATGTATTTGCTGATATTTATGGTATGTGTGATGTTGAACTCCATATGCTTTATGAAAATATGCTTATGAATGCGAATATGATGTAACTGAAATATGCTTTATGCAAAAGGTCTCTTGTAAGATGTCATTACAAAGCTTATAATCTACCTAGTGTGTTCATCCTGTTTGTATGCATGTATCATGCTTATATCTGAAGCTAGAAATATGAAGTATAACTCTGAGGTCCTATTGTAATATGCAAAGTGTGGGCCATTAATGGTGGTTTAGAATCTTGATGGCTCCCATTGACTAGGACAATTGGTTGTAAATGGTTTATTTACATACAAGCCTTCCTATGTATGTGTGGGCCAGCCCCTGGGTAAAGAAGGATGAGGTCTCACAGGGACATGTGTAAAACAGATGTATTTGGGGTTTGGATCCTATTGGGAGCTGGGTGTCTGGGTGCTGGAGGCAGGAAACCTGCAGAGCTATTTTCACTTAAAGCCTGCAGCTTTGGGGGTGTGGCCCAGACCCTGGGTCTGTGTTGCAGCAGGCTAGCGTGTCTGGCTCAACAAGACAGGGTTCTGGAGTCCCAAGCTGACAGGGAAAACGGGCTCAGAGGTAATCTCAGCACATCAGGTGACAGTCCCATGGGGGTCTCTGTGACCGAACCCGTCACAGTATGCACTGAGAGCGAACATGGATTTTTTTTAAATGTACAAAATATACATAAAGAAAACAGAGGAAAAAAATACCTCTCCAATTAAGTATAAAAAACTACATCATTGTACTAGGCGTAGCAGCATTAGTAAAACATGTTTACTTGGCAAATGTACTTAATATTCCGGACAGGACCCTTGATAAAGAAGAAGTCCATCCTATGCTCTCTGGAGGGATTTCTATGTTTCACTGGACCGTAGCACTGTGCTTCCAGCTGAAATCCAGCGGATATAATATTGGCCCCTTTCTTAGCACGATCCCCTCCATAGCACAGAGGCTGTGTAGAGCGCCCCTGCCTGACCCCTCTACACCAGGGTGGATTTTACCAAGAGGGAACAAAACTTAGAAATAAAAACAGGTTTAACTATATTAATTCCTTCATTGGAAACATAATGTAGAAATGGCTCCTTGCTGTGTTAGTCTTGATAGAACACGTTTTCCAATAGTGAGAGAACATTGAACAGCAATCCATTAGCGTTTGACATGTTTCAGTGGCAGCCATTTGAAACAAAATCAGCCAAAGAGGCGTCCAAATGCTAGAACTCATAGCAAACTAATGGTCAAAACCAGGGAGGTGGCTCTGTTTATATATCGGTAGGATGAACAATTGTCATATTTGACTGAACTGATACAGATGACTCAATCCCCAGGAAACTGCATTTTGTTTTCCAAATAAGATTTTCTAGATTTCTCTCAGAAAAAACTATAGAGAACCTCTTTCACAGTTTTGACACTGAGTCAGATTTATCTCCAGTAAGAGTGAAATAATATATGCTACACTCAAAGTTTCAATGTATGTTTATTCACGGTGAGTGAAATTCACCCCTATAGAGGGCCAGCATACGCACTCCTTACTTAAGTTCCATTTAAACCTTCAAAATAGGACTAGGTAGGACTTACGTGGTGGAGCAGCCAGATGCTGGCCCTCTCCATAGGGGCGAGTTTCACCCCACTTCTATACGGCATTTGGCATACTGATGAATAAATACCGCACACAAAAGGTTTTGATAATTTCTTTGACATTTTATTTTTTTATTTTGGTATTATTTGGGGGTCAATGTCCACTGTTCAATGAATGTCAAAGACAGGCTTCCTGGATTAGAGTCTCCATTATCGGAGGTTAAATTCTTCTCTTGTATCTTTGTTCCAACTTCTTCCAGTCCCAAAGATTGGCAGATAATATTCTCTTTCAGTCTGTCATGCAAATTGGCTTCTAACATCTGCAAGCCCTAGCATGCTTCTCCAGGCAGGTTTCCTTTCCCAGGCTCCTGATTTTTCAGTAATACAGTAGAACCTCAGAGTTATGAACACCTCGGGAATGGAGGTTGTTCGTAACTCTGAAACTTTACTATGCAGAAGAAAAATGCTGTTTTAACCATCTTAATTTAAATGAAACTAGCACAGAAACAGTTTCCTTACCTTTTCAAATCTTTTTTTTAAACTTTCTCTTTATTTTTTTTTAGTAGTTTTAATTTAACACAGTACTGTACTGTATTTGCCTTTTTTTGGGGGGGGGGGGTCTCTGCTGCTGCCTGATTCCGTACTTCTGGTTCCAAATGAGGTGTGTGGTTGACTGGTCAGTTTATAACTCTGGTGTTTAGAACTCTGAGGTTCTATTGTATGATGTACTAACTTGTATGAAGTCAGCTGACTTTCCTTTAAACCCCAGTTTTCTAAATATGCTGATTTTTTCTAGTGGGAGAAACATTCAGTTGTATATTTACTTTGACTTATACAAAATATTTTAAAATCTTATTCCAGGACTCTAGGCACCTTGGCTAACTATTAAAAATACAATAAGCCCAATACACGCAAAAAGGTATGTAGCAATCTCCACAAAACCAGGAAAGGGAAAAACACCACTACAGCCACAGATATCCCACCTCAAATCCCTTGGCTTTGCAACATAGTCTAAAGAAATGTAATATTGTACCCCACTGACACGAGCATCTGCATTTTAAGAACGCATTCCCTTTGCTATTTTCCAGCACAAGAGTTCTGCTATTGCTCCTCGTTATGCAACTTGATTGCTACTGCCTCAAATCACCAGATATACATACATTATGGATTATCCCCCAGAAACAGCTATTCAGGATCAACCTTTACCACAGAACATATTTCCTGCCTTTGATTTCCTTTTCAGAGGTCAACAAATGTCTCAGATTTCCTATATTTTAACAAGGAAACATAGCGTAATCAGGGAAATAAAATCCCAGGATCCTCAGTAGGCATTCAGATGCCTTATTTTGCCATTTTTTCCTATTTGAAGCAAATATTTTTATTACAATATGTCAGTAAAAACTAAGAGCCAATAAAACTGTATAATTTGCATTGTGGGACTCTATTAAAGAGGACAACAAGGAACCTTACAACAGTTATTTTAAGGCACAATGGTTTACAATTCAGTAGCAGGTACATGAGCCTCATGTACTGCATAGCTTTTTTTTTTCTAGCATGGTAATAATGTGTATAGGTAAAATTTAAAGTTAGGATTTTAATTAGGGTTGCCACCCATCTGGCTTTAACCCAGACAGTCTAGTTTTCGGCTTGTGTGTCCAGGTGCCATTTAGAGTTGCCAGGTGCCTGGGTTTTTTTGGTTTTTTTTTTTTACCAGAAAGTCCAGTCCATAAGGGGACCTGGCAGTGTCTGGTCAGAGGTACTGACTAGACACCAAAAGTCCAGTTACCGTGGGGTGGGGAGAGGTACCGGGTCATTAACCCACGCCAGCCCCTGCTCAGCCGGGGCCGTCTCCTACCTGCAGGCAGGCTCCAGCTGCTCCCATCCTAGCCCTGAAGCAGAGGGAGCCCAGCTGGTGGAGGGAGGTGAAGACGATCCAGTGAGTGACAGGGGTAAGGGGTGAGACGAGCAAGTGAGGGAGATGGGGCCTTGGAGGAAGAGGGGGGAAAGGGCATGAGGGAGGAGGCAGAGAAGGGGTGGGGCTTTGGGGAAGAGGCAGGGCAATGGGTAGAGGCTTGGAGGCCTGATTACCAGCAATTAGAAAGGTGGCAACCCTAGTTTTAATCCACCAAATTCCTTAAAGGGAATATTCAAATTTACAGGTGGAGATTAATTTTTTAGGATTCTGAGCACCCTATGCTGCCTTCATGGTAGATGAGACAACTAATCGGGAATGGTGGCCCAGCAGTAATAAGAAAGAGGATGAATAATGGGTTAGGTGCATTGAGGGGACTAGCAAACTAGTGCATTTACTATGTATCTAATACTACTCTTGGGGGAAGAAAAAATTATTACACATACAGAATGGGTATTGTTGGAGTTTATGCTAAACCACAAACTCTTCACAACAACCCCCTTCATGTTGATATAGGACAATTCACCGAAGGCGGTATTTCATCCAATTGCATGTTCCCATTTAATTGGGTCTTCAAGCAAGCAAATTGCTGGGAGATTTCGAATGTGAATCTCAGAAAACCTCTGAAAAACATAATCCAGTGACCTCCAGATACAATCATTATTAAATTATGTCAATGGAATTGAACCAGGTTGCCAGACTTCTTTAAAGAAATACAGATGCAACAAACTTTCATTAAATTCAGTCATTTAACTCCTCCAAACAGACCCACTAGGCTATTAAATGAAGAGTATTCCAAGGCACATTAATAGGCAATTACCCAGTGCACCACAGATTAAGATATCTTCCTGATGGCTATAGAACTCAAACTCTGTTTGCTTATAAAGTTCTTAAGGGAATTCAACAGGCTATATAGAACATCACAAAATAACTTCCATACAGAACACAGTTCTCAAGAACACTGATGAGCCAACAGACAAATAAGCATTGAAGTAAACAAGCCAGCTTCCTGCCAGTTCAGATGATTTGAAAGAAAGAAACCAAACCAACCCTTGGCATTTGCACTACACAGACTGAATAACACCATCACAACACAGGGAAAGAAAGCAGAAACAAAAAACTTGCTCTTACCTTTGCCATCTGGGCCTGAACGCCATTTGCTTTAAGAGATGCTACCGCTTTCTGTGCCGCTGCTGGACTGTCAAAATCTACAAAACCATAGCCTAAAAAAAATACAGAAGTCTTCGTTAATATCTATAAACAACCTCCCATTTTTTGTCAAACTCTTCTCAGATTCTTCTAACCGACTGCTCTCCTGACACTCAGCAGCCGCCACGTCTGTATTCCTTTCATCTTCACTTCCCTTAAATCAATGGTACTTAAAGAAATGGCTAGTTCTCTATCAAGGACTGCTTCAGGGAGCTCTCTCTGAGCACCTAGTTCAGCGAGGCTAGACATGGGGAGATAATCTTTCACTTTTAAAATGGCTGCTTTACAGCCCAGTTATTTTCAATAGCTTGGTTTATCAAATTAGTCAGCTGGTTTGTACAATACACTTCCTATTATTACCCTTCCCTCGCTCCCCTCTGCCCCCCACACAGCCCCTGGCAATCCTTTCTTCTTTGGTGACCAGGGCTGGGATTTTCAAAGGAACATAAGAGCGTTAAGCATCCAGCTCCTATTGAATTACAGGCTTTTACATTCAGATATTGAAGTGCCTATAGGTGCGTATAGGTGCCTAGGGAGATTTACAAAAGCTCCCAATACTTTTAAAAATCTGCCCCAGGGCTCTTAACTCCCTTAGAGTCCTCTGAAAATATTCCAGCCCACATCTTTCTAAGACGTTACAACACAGGTATATGCTTCTTGGAGAGAGTTTACAACCACAGCTCACCTCCCTGCAGACTGCAGGGCTGAAACCAAATTGCCGGTAAGCTTTAATAATATTAGCACTAGCATGTTTACAGCATAACGGCTCCTCTGCCATCATCTCCATTTACTAGGTCAATAAGTACAATATAGTAGGCAGCCACAAATATGTGGCTTTCCTGCTGTATCAGGTTTTTTTATTTCTTTTGTCAGCCTTTCCCCTGTTAGTGTGTGACCACCCCCGCCTTTCCCCTATTAATGTTCTCCACCCCACTCCGTCAAAAGAGTATGTGAACACCTCACCACCCAAAGCCTGAAGACTCTTTTGATGTGCATGCCTCACTCTAGGCAATGGCTAGTCCAATGTAAAAAGAATCTGTTACCCAAAGTTTCTCTCACGCTAATATCTTATTTGCCAAGTTTTAAGCTTTAAAAAAAGAAACAAAAACAGACAAGAGAGTTACTACAAAAAAAAAAAAAGTACTAAGAAACTAAAGAAGGATTTTGAGGCATTGCTTTAATAACATCCTCCATTCCTGAATCTCTCTGTTCTGTTTTCTCCTAATCTTTGTACTTTTTTAAAATTGATTTAGAACATCAGTACACCTCTAGGGAAGCCTTTGGAACAACGGTGCATTGTGACAGTATGCTCCACAACATTGCCATGAAAAAGTGCAACAGAATTCAATTATCACTTTGGTTTTTGTTTTTAATTAACTATTTAATTTTCTCCCCTCTGGTTCCTCCTCTTCCCTCTCACTCAGCGTGTTATGCTGCAATGAACTTGTTACACCCAGCAGTGCGCTTCACAGTGCTCTCAGAAATGCTCTGCAGAGTAGCTGCGAAGTTTGTATTTCTAACTCACTAAGAAAGCCTGCTACATGAAGACACAGGATTCTTCCTTGGATTTCCACAAAGCCTTTGTTCGCGGGGTGATACAAGTGCACAAACTCAGAGTCAAGGAGAGGAAATGGAGAATGGTTCCTGGGAGGAGACAAGAGCAGACGTAACTTCACAGTCTCACAATACAAGTCACCCTGACTTGACTCAAGCTGCCAACAGACCCTGAAGCCCACCAGGAAGCCAGATACCACCATGAAAGCTTAGACAGATTGGGTATTAGGATGGCCTGGAATGAGTATGGGAACCAACCTATTCTTAGGAGGTGGAGTACTTGTTATTGATAGAAGATTGCATCTTGCTCTCTATCTCGACATGTTCATGTCTTTGTGCAGGAGAGAAATGCTAAACCTATCTTTTAGATGTTGACACTGTAAAAACTGGGAATGGCAGAATTGGAGATTTATAGTAGGTTTATATTGCAGGATTCATATGTGTTAGGTAAGTGATTTTTAATAAGACTGTCTACACAATGTTATACAGAAAAGAGAGAGTGCATCCGATTTAGTTCTACCAGTAAATTTACACTAGCATCTCTAGGTTTGGGATGTTTTGAGAGAACACACTATAGATAGCAGGTATATGTAATGTAGTCAATCAATAAATAAAGATTTAAGTCAGTCCACAAGGTTTAATTGTATGAATAGCTTCTATACGCTTATTCTAATGACCACAAAATACCTGAGTGTGGTTATAGAATCATATCCTCCCATTAAAGTCAATAAGGCAAAAACTTAAACTTGTACTTTCATTAATGATGTTAGTATAATTGTGAAGTTGTTATTGTTCCTTCCCTCCAGTTAATTCACATTCCAAGTACTCCTCTTATCTTCACCTCTCAACGTCCCTCCACCCCACACAGAACATCAGGGCAAAATCACTGCAAGGCTGAAAAGCAATCCAAAGAGCAATCACCTACAAGCCATGTTCCCAGGCTGCTTCAGCATTCAAGCATACTTCTATGCTATGCAGCATAACAGCAGACATGTTAATATCCTTCTCACCATTTGCGTTGGCTGTTAAAATGTAGCGTATGGCTAGATTACAAGCACTACAGCAGCACAGCTATGGTGCTGCAGCTATGTCGCAGTGTAGACATTTGCTATAGTGACAGAAGGGGTTTTTCCGTCACTGTAGTAAATCCACTCCCTCAAGAGGCAGTAGCTATATCGATGGATACTGACCCTACTGGTGTCTACACTGGGGCTTAGGTTGGCCTAACTACATCTCTCAGGCCTCAGTGACTCTGCTGGTCTATTTCACTTTTGTTTATAAATGTAATCACAGTTTCATTTTCAGGTGTCATGCACTCACAAAGTAAAGTGACTGTATATATCTTATTGAAACACCCTTCCTCTTTTACCCCCACATTCCATTCCCTACCTTTTTGCTCCTAGCCATAAACTTGGACAGTCAGCTCTCTATTTATTTCCTGTTATTCAGCACCTAGTCAAATGGGGCTCTGATGATTAATTAGGACTCCTAGCTACTACTGTCATATAAAAATGAAACAACAATAATAACACAACAAACACAACAAATCTATTTTCACTGGGTTTTTTTAAATCTCATTCCTTTTTGTTTTTAATATACTCTAAATTAAAAAATAAACAAACCACCTACTGAAAAGTTCCCTTAAAGACTAAGGACCAAATTCATCCCTGTAAGTCCTTTGACTTCAGTGTAGTTACACCAGGGTGATTTTGGCCATCCAACTCTAGAACTAAATGGGTGGGTGCCTGGTTTTATAGAATGACACGTACTACTAGCACGTAAATGCAATCACAAACAACAAGACGAGACTATCCATAATCATTGCCAATCCTTTCCTCTGAGAAATAAAAGGACTGTAATTTTCTTTGGCTTGATGCCATCAAAGCTAAATAATGAAGTTTAAGGGATACAAGCGGTGAGCCTGTACCTATGGGGGGATGAAACAGCTAAGCATCAGCAAGCATAAATTTATGGGTTGCTTCAGTAAGCGCTACCTGAACACACAGGCAGACACTAACCATCTATGTCTCCGATAACCTAAACAGCTGGGGGCCTCCTGGTCTCAGTTTCTCAATTCCATAATTAAGCTTGGCAGCAGGTTCAAATGAATTAAAACTGAATGTCACTGTTTCCTCAACAAATCCCTCATCCTTGTTTTTCTTACTTGTCAGAAGAAGACCAGCAGAACAGCAATTAGTGGTAAGCAGTGCAGTGAAAAAGAACCAAATATACACTAATTAGGTCACTCGCCAAACACATTCATTTCATTGGCAGATTTAATCAATGTTTTCCTGAAATGCCTTAAATCTCCTATGCTAATTTAAAGTTTTGTTATTATTGTTGCTTTAAACACAGATGGGATGCCTGGGGATTTTCAATTGCTTTTTCCAAAACTATTTCTAAATAACAGCCTCTTCAAATACTGCCCCATTAATATTTAGGTTCTGGTTTTAGGAAATGGACTACATTTTGTGCCTACAAATACACTGTGCTTTTAAAACACTGCAGGTATATTTTACGTCTCTTCTATGTCAAACTATGGATTGCCCCCACAAATCAGGTAGCTAGACAAAACTCTAAACATTGCAAGACTACCCACAATTAACTCACAAGTGGGAATCAAATACAAGTATTCTCCCATTGGTGCACAAATACAGTTCCCATCAAGTCTCTTGGGATTTTTGCACCTACACTGCTATGAGAGTAGATCTGCTTGCATTTAAAAATCTCCGTTTGGTGTGTTACAGTAGTATTTTTGCTAATGCTGGGAGCTATGTTACTAATTGTAGTTCTAAGGGCCCAATGGGTGTAGAGAATGGTCAGCACTCTATAAGGTCAGTTCCCAAATGTGTATCATAGCAAAGGTCTATGTAGTATTTTTTCAGCATGGAAGCATTTCTTCATGGGCAGGTTGCACTGCAGACTCAGATTCTGTTTGAAATCCCTGGGCTAAACTATAGTATTTAGCCAAAATCCTGCTGTTGGCGGGTGGGCGGGGGAGTTGAATGGACACACTACACAAACAGGCCACAGGACAAGTGTTGTTTTTTGCAAAGAAGCAGATACAGAGCTGTGCTGCTGCAGAGGGAGCATCAGGAAGATTTCTACTTCGGGGAGATAGAATTTCTACCTCTCCCAGAGCTCCCCAAATGCTCAGGGAGTGGAAGAATAATGCACCACAGACCTTTAAAACATGCAGTTTACTCTTCCCAATTTGAATGCTCATGTCTGCTGGCTGCTGCATACATGGAGATGTAGCACTGGCCCCGCCCACTACCTTTTTCAGTGAGATGCTCTCAGGAACAGAACAGGCTACAATTCAGGACAGCCCTTGTGTAGGTCAGGCAAAGGGGAGGGGACTCCTTACTCCCTCCCCCTTACATAGTTGCACAAGGGCTAGCAACAATCTAACTCTATGTTTCTGCAGAAAGGAACCTGTTTTCCAGGAAAGTTATAAGCT